CCACAATTGGGGCCGTTGGATTGCAGTTCAAATTTCAAGCCCAGTTTGCCTCCTCTCTCACCGTTCCGCAGCGGCTTCATGAAAACCGGTCCCAAGAGGACCCAATATCTCCCCACAGGCCTCCAAGATAAACACAGACATGGCCGCTCGAAAGCCCCACCAGTCACGCCGATGATGATGCTGCTGATGATGGTGATGATGATACCGATCATGCTGCTGCTGCTGCTGCTGATGATGATGATGATGATGATGCTGAAGATGCTGATGCCTCTGCTGATGCTGCTGATGATGATGATCCTGATCATGATGATCATGATCATGATGACGATTCTGACCATGACCGTGATCATGCTGATACTGTTTAGCTTGATGGTGGTGATGATGATGATGATGATGATGATGATAATGATGATGATGATCATGAGGATGCTGCTGATGATGATGATGCTGATGGTGGTGGTGATGATGATGCTTGTGGTTATGAGGATGATGGTGGTGATTGCTCTCATCTTCCTCCTCGTCCTCAGCTTCATCCTCCCTCTCCATTTCATTGCCATTTGGTAAGACGCCAATTCGCCTCGAGACCAGTTTGGTTCGTTCTGCAGGGGCTGTTCCCCGTGAGCGGCCCGTGCATATTGAGTCGCACGGTGGCGTCTTCCCACGCAGGAGGCCCACGAGAGGGCGCCGTTCGGCGCGTCTCGCGCATGCATTGTTTCCAAACCCTCCTGTGTTGGATTCTCGTTTTGAATACAGCACTGCGGTCGCGTGTCCTTCTCCTTCTTCTCCTCCCCCCTCCTGCCTCCTCCTGCGCTGCTCCCTGGGTGGCTGCGAACTGCGCAGCTGTCGCCACTTTTCGCGGGCTCCCAGGAGGCACGGCGGAGTATGGGAGTGCCCGAGACCTCGCAGGTCGTTCAGTGGCTGCGAGCTGCGCAGCTATCGCCACTTTCCTGGGCTCCTCGGAGGCACGGCGGGGTAGCAGAGCTCCCCAGACCTCGCCTCTCTCTGGGTGGCTGCGAACTGCAGAACCATCGCCACTTCGTGGGCTCCTGGGGGGCACGGCGGGGTAGCGGAGTGCCCGAGACCTAGCAGCTCCCCGGGTGGCCGTGAATTGCGCCATTGTCGTCGCTTTCGTGGGCTGCGGAGAGGCACGGCGGAGTAGTGGAGTCCCCGAAACCTCGCAGCTCCCTAGGAGGCCACAGACTGCGCAACTGTCGCCACTTTCGTGGGCTCCTGGGAGGTACGGCGGAGTAGCGGAGCAACCGAGACCTCGCAGCTCCTTGGGTGGTTGCGAATTGCCCAGTTGTCGCCACTTGTAGGCTCCTGTCAAGCAGGGCGGGGTAGCGGGCAATAGCGGAGTAACCGGGACCTCGCAGCTCCTTTGGTGGGTACGGACAGCGCATCTGTCGCCATGTTCGTGGGCTCCTGGGATGTCAGGCGGAGTCGGGGGCCACGCGGATCCAGCGGAGACCGTGGATTTTTGGGAGGTTACGGGCTGTGCAATTGTCGGCTCTTTCGTGGGCTTCTGGGAGGCACAGCGGGGATGAGGGCATCGCATATCGTGTATATGTGGCCATGTGTGTTTAATGGAACGATCATGCAAACACTCGCCTCTCGTGCAGACGGAGATGGGCACGTCTCGGGTAATTTTACGTATGGGCGGCCTCGGAAGGCACCGTGCGGCGCCGCTCGCGAGTCGCGCCGTTCTGCTCAGGAGCTTCCAAGAACCGCGAGTTCTCCCTACGGGCGGCCCAGATGAAACCGTTCGCCGCTCCCCCGCGTTGTGTTTGGCGTGGGCAGGGCGCCCAGGAGGGCGCCGTAACAGCGCCCCTGGCGCATTTTGGTTGTCCACGCCAGAGCTCCAGAGTCGCGCATTGCGTTGTCCGAGACAGGCTGCCCAAGAGAGGACACTATTCGGCGCACCCCGCACATGGCTGTTTCCTGGCCATCCTGTGTTGAGATGGGTCTTGAGTCCGCAGCGCCCTGTGTCCTCCCCCACAGGGAGCTCCACCAAAGGTCTCAGTGGCAGCGGTCGCATTGCCCATGTCGGCACACCCCAGGGACTTCCACCGAATGCCCCAGTTGCAGCGGTCGCATGGCGCTGCATGCCGGCACACTCCTCGCACGTTTCGCGCACCCCCACCCACACAGAAACTCCACCGAAGGCCCCAGTGGCAGCGGTCACGTGGCGCCGCCCCGTGCATGTCGGCACATGCATCGCACGTTTCGTTGCCTCGTGAGGTCTCGTGGTGCCGCCCCGCCCACTGGGGCACACGCCTTTTCACGGTTCGTGGCCGTCTTGGACTGTCTTGGGGCCCTGCCGTTTGGAGGCCTTCGTGGGCGCCTTTTGGCCGTCTTGGGACGATCTTCCAGGCCTCTTGGGCCGTCCTGGGGTGTCGGGAGCTTGGAAAGGCGAGCTTTTTTTTAATATTGCATAAACTTGTGGGGGACTCGATGACGTTGACCTCTCCGGGCCCTCTTTGTGCGTCTTGGAGGCCTCTTGGGCAGTCTTGAGGCCATCCCGGGGAACTTGGAAGGATGTTTGGGCGAGTCGGGGCGCTCTTGGACCGTCTTGGGGACATCTTGGGGCCCTCTTGGCCCGTTTCGGAGCCCTTCTGCTTGCCGAGAAGTTCGGCGAGAACGCGCGACAAGCCCGAGGAGCGCCCAAGAGCGCCAAGGAGCGCCCAGAAGTCGGCTCTGCAGTCACCCTCGCGAGCAATAACATATTTAACACAGGGAACTCGAAGGGACCTGCGGACACTCCAACTGGCGCCTCGCGGCTAAGCCTACAGAGTGTCCGAGACAGCCCTAGAAGCCCTGAAGCTCGTGCCCAGACGGGTCAAACGGGCATGACGAGCCCCCAGACCGCACCAGAGCAGCCCAAGCGCCGCCCACGACGCGACAGGATCGCCCCAAGAAGAGCTCAAGGCGGCTCCACAGGGCCCCAAGCTTGCTCAAGATGAGCCCCAAACAGCCCCAATATGGCTTTAGACACCCGCAAGCGAAGCCAGGGGGTCCCAGAATTGCAGACATCCCCAACCCGAGCCTGCAACGGCCTCATGAGACCCCAGAGAGGCTCTTGGACACGTCCCCTGCTTCGTCCTCCGCGCCCCCACGCGCCCCAAGAGCCCCTCAGACCGCCTTCAGACAGTCGAGCAATGTATCAAAAAATCAATCGAGTCCAGGCTGGCCTCCCTCCCTTCTCGCTCATCCGTCCTCCCTCCCCCTCTTCCCTCAACGTTTCACCCTCCTCCCGCCTAGACATGCATCCCCCTTCTCCTTCACTCCTTCCTCCCCTCGCTGCACGTTTTATATTGTTTATGCTTGTGTGTATGTTTTTTTTTTTTTTTTTTTCTCTCTCTCTCTCTCTCTCTCTCCCCCCCTCTCTCGCACGCTATTTATATATACATACATACAGACATACATACGTTCGTTCATACATACATACATACATACATACAAACATACATACATACATACATGCATGCATGCATGCATACATACATACATACATACATACACACCTACATACATGCATACATTCATACATACATACATACATACATACATACATACACACGTATATTTATACATACACAAATATACATGTATATATATGTATATGTATATATATATATATATATATATATATATCGACAGTTACACTTACATATACATATATACGTCGTAGCACTCCGCAGATGCGGATAAGAGTGAGGGGGCGGTGGGGACGTCGGCAGTCTGCGAGACTTTGGAGAAACCCGCCGCGGCGCAACAGTTCCACAACTTATACAACGAGCCCGCCAGGCGCCAATTCTTCTTCAAACCAATGTGGATCGGTCGCGGGTGGGTCGCGGGTGGGTCGCGGGTGGGTCGCGGGTGGATCGTGGGGTGGGTCGCGGGTGGGTCGCGGGGTGGGTCGCGGGGTGGGTCGCGGGGTGGGTCACGGGGTGGGTCGCGGGTCTGTCGCGGATGGGTCGCGGGGTGGGTCGCGGGTGGGTCGCGGGGTGGGTCGCGGGGTGGGTCGCGGGTGGATCGCGAGTGGGTCGCGGGGTGGGTCGCGGGAGGGTCGCGGCTGGGTCGCGGGGTGGGTCGCGGGGTGGGTTGCGGTGGGGACAAACAACAACAACGCAACAGGCATATTCCTCATCACGAATTGTCTTTTCAGCCACGCACCCAGGGACAATGAATGACAGTTCGGCCCCTCACGCTGATATACACATACATATACGCATACACCCACGCATACACACACAGTTACATGTACATACACAGTTACACATACATGTACATATCCGCCCCCATATACATTTACACATACGTATACCTATACATGTGCCTGTTCATATGCATACACCTGCATACACACATACACACGTACACACATACACGTATATGGTTGTATGTATAGGTATGTAAATGTCTATACAGTTGTATGTCTCTTTAGCGTTTTCCCTTCATTTTCTCGGAACCGTCTTGGCTCTGAGGGCGGGCGGGGGCAGAGCGTTCGCAGTGGTACTCAAGAGCGGCTCGTCAGCGGAGAGCCATGGCCAGGCCGTGACCGCGGCCTTCGGCGCGAGTGACGAGCCGTCGAGACCTGCGTGGACGCGATGGGCGGCCCTACCACCACCCTGCACGCGGGCGGTGCGCTGCTGGAAGTGCACTCCCTGCTCCTGGGGGAGAAGCTCATCACGGCGTTGCTCAAGGGCACGCTTAGGGGTGTGCACACGCCCCTCATGGTCGCGAGGTACCAGGCTGGGCAGATGACGCTGTAGTTCATAGGTGATTGTGCGATTACCGATGAGGAGGCCAGCGAGATCAGAGAGGAAGCGACGATGGCGTTCGGGGACCAGGTCGGCCAGGAGGTCGACCAGAGCGCGGGCGTGAAGTTGCCGGGGTACGTTGGGACCACCGTCCGCTCGCTGACGGACGAGTTCGCGGTCGAGACGGTGGTCGAACAGGCGGTGGCCGTGTAGGCGGCCTTGGACGAGCAGGTGTCGATCATGCTGCAGGTCGAGGGCACTTCGTCACTCGCGCAGCAGATCGTGCCGAAGGGCGAGTTCGTGGGCCAGGCGTTGGTTGAGAAAGCGCTCCTCGGCGAGCCCGTTTTCCCCGATCTGGTGGTGATAGGGGAATGCGGGGGCATCGACGGGGAGGGCCTGCAGGAGTTCGAGAACGCCGCGAAGGCGCCTACGGAGGCCGTGGCCGACGCGGAGGCTCAGCAGAAGATGGAGGCCGCGAGGAAGAGGAGCTGGCTTGCCACGGGCGAGGCCAACCACGCGGCGTACGTGAGGGCGGCCGCGGCGGAGGAGGCTCCGCTGACCGAGGTTCCCTGCGGGGATCCAGAAGCACGTGAAGGCTGGGGCCTAGGCGGCCGAGACGAATGTCAAGGTGGACGAATTCCTAGGCGACACCGACGAGGCGCCCGCCGAGTTGCTTCAGGGGGCCGCGGTCCGCGGGCTGGAGTACGAGGGCCTTGGCATCTCAGGGGCCGAGCGTGAGCTCTGGGATCAATGTCTTCGAGGAGGCCGTGGGGCCGGGGCACATCAGCAGCCGTCCAGCCTGGACGGTTGGCTTGGGCGGCTGGTGCGCCCGCGCGGCCACGGGGTGCGGGGTGGTTATCGGGCGCCTCCCTCTCCACCGCCCTCTCCTTGTCGCCCGGGCCAGGGCGTGGAAGGCGATGGGGGAGTGGCGAGTGGCCGACGGTTGACGAGTGGAGCGGCATGCGGGCGTGTGCCATGGTTTTCGCAACTCGGCAGCAGCAGAACGAGGCCACCGCGGCCGCCGAACTGCCCAAAGGCGGGACCACCGAGTCGACTACCGCACCGCCCCGGAAGAAGAAGAAGAAGAAGAAGAAGCGGCAGCCCAAGAGGTCCTGAGGCGGTTGACCGGGAAAGTCCTCGCGGAGCTGGGGCCCGGGTCGCGGGGGGAGGGCGGCGATGGCACCTTGCCAGCTTGCTGGTCGGGCCGCCGCCGCCCTCCACATGACGTTCTCGGGTATTGCCGTCGGGCACGTGTACTCGATGGCCAAAGTCGCCGCAAACAGCTATGCACAGCTGCGTTCGGGGCCATTGTTTCTTCAGTTGAGGCAGGCGGACTCTCCGCCCATGCTCTTGCGATCCTTGCCATCCTTCATTCTCTCTGCCTCCGTTCCATCACTCCTCCTGCCGTCGCCATCTGCCACCTCTGCTTCCGTATCTTGTGCCCTTTGCCCCTTTGCCCCGCCTCTCATTCCCCCTTGTTTTCCTGTCCACCCCGAGCAGAGTGGAGTCGCAGTCGAGCGCTGTCCTCGTTGCCCCATCTACGAGGGAGAATGGGGGGTCGGTGGCCGCCGATGTCAAAACATATCCCCCTTCCTCTCCAGTCGTTCCTTGTCCCGCCTTTTTGTCCGCCTGCACCTCTCCCCGTCCCCCATTCCACCTCCTTCCACCGTCCCCATGCATGCGTCTGCCTCCTCTCTCCACCGTTCCTCTCCCCAGTCCCGTCCTCCTCCAAGGCAGCTCGACTCCAGCCTGACTCGGTTCGCACCCTAGAATTTCCCCCTCCGGATACAAGTTTGTGTGTATGTGTGTGTGCGTGTGTGTGTGTGTGTGTGCGTGTGTGTGTGTGTGCGTGGAACTGCTTTCCACGCCTTATGACTATATATGTATACGTGTATGTGAATATATGTATATATGTATATATATACATACATGCATACATACATATTGCCGCACATGTGCATCATTACATGCAGCCTCCGACGCAGGAATCCTCAGAGGGCACCGAACTGCGACCCTCGGGCACTGCGCCCTCCACACCAGATGGTCCAAGAGGGTGCCGTCCAGCGCCTGTCGCGCATGCGCCGGGAGGGTCTGCCAGGCTGGGCGACTGCCCGCGCGCGGCTTTGCCCGCAGGGGCCGCGTGCGGAGCGCTGTCTATGTTTGCCCCCTGGGCCCAGTTGTTCTTGAATTTTATTTTGCACTACCCGTCGTAGTCTGTTAGCCGCCCTTTCCCCCTCCGTCCCCCTCTGCCCCTCTGGGCTCAAGTCGGCGCGGGCGAGGCCCGCAGGCGGGCCCCTCTGCGGTCGTGCCTGGGCACGGCCTCCCACCGCGGCGCCATTCCGCGGCCTTGCGCGCTCGCGGGCGCGCTGCTGGCGCTCCTGGGCCTCTCGGGCGACCTCCAGGAGGAGGCCCTGGCCGCGGGGGGCAGGTTCAGCCAGGACCAGGTCCTGGATTTCCTCGGCCTGCGCTTCGAGAGCGAGGGCGAGGACGACGTCGAGGAGACTGAGGCGGAGGGCCCCGCCTCAGTCGAGGAGGTCGAGCTCATCGGCGCTGCGGAGGAGACCAAGATCGTCGGGGGCAGCCCGCTAGTCATGGGGGGCTGGGCGCAGTGGAACAGGATCTACGACCTGCCCAAAGGGCAGAGTGCGGGCGTGGTCATGCTGTTGGTCGAGCGGGTGGGGAAGGCCAGCGACCAAACGTGGACGTGTGTGGGCCCGTCGCTCAGGGTGCAGATCATATGCTTGAAGGATAAGCAATCGGCGCACAGCAAGCCGCCACGCGGCATCAGCCAGTGGACGGCTTTCCCAGAGCTGAGCGGCAAGACTCGGGACATGGTGCTGGCGGCCTCTTCGAGGCTGATTGCACGGAAGGAGCTGGGCGCCGAGAGCGTCAAGGTGGCCAAGGCCGCCGACAAGAAGAGAGGCTTCTGGAAGCTGGGCGGGAAGCGGAAGACCTCGAAGAAGGCGGGCCTGGTGAACTGGGTGTGGGCCATGTGCTCGAACCTGGTCTGCTACGGGTGGCTTCATCGCTCCTGGGGTGGGCTCGCTGGGGGTGCTTTCGCCGCCTGGCGCATCTGGAGGTATTTCCACCTGGGGCCTCTCTTCCACAGGGTGTTCGAGGCGGCAGCGGCCGCGAAGGAGACGGCGGAGGAGGTGTCCGACTACTGGGGCCTCCTGCTGGAGGCCTGGGAGTCGGGGGAGTTGGAGGCCGTGCTGATGGCGGGCGGAGGCGTGATCTTCGGGGTGTTCTTGCTGAACTACGTCTTCCGCCAGTGGCAGGGCCTCTCGGACTCCGACTCCGAGTCCGACGTGTCCGACGGGGAGCTGATCATGGGCACCGCGGTGCCCGACTCAGACGACGAGCCCGACGCGAAGGGTCTCTATGCGGAGCTGCAGCGTGGACAGGAAGAACTACGGGCTGGACTGATGGCGGTCACAGAGGCGCTGAAGAAGGACAGGGCGGAGCTTCCGAGCAAGGCTACGGGGGGTCACGTCGGGTCCGCCGACGAGGCTACTCCGACGACTGCGCAGCTGGACCAGTTCATTGCCAAGTTGAATGAGCATGAGGAGTTGGTGAAGAGCGACTCGGACCGTGGTACGAGACGCAGTGGACGTGAGGCTGGCAAGTCCGCCTCGGACTCGGACTGGGAGCGGCTGCCATCATCACCAGGGTATGGGTCAGTCTCGGACACGATCGCTCAGCTGGAGATGGAGAGTAAGAATCCCAGGGGTGCCCTCCTGCAGACCTTGAAGAGCTACGAGCACGTCCCCAACATGCGTGTGGGGGGTATCAGGACGCGGGTGGCCCCGACGGTGCTGAGCAAGATCTACAGGGGGGGGCGGTCCGCGAAGCTCGAGGTTCAGGAGTGGCTGAGGAGCAAGGAGCTTTCAAAGGCTCCCATCGCCAACGAGATGCCGGTGCTGGCCATGACGTTGGACCGCATGATGGTCTCAGGCGACTTCAAGGGCTTGATCAACTCTCAGGCCAGCGAGCTGAGTTGCCTCAGGATGTATGCGATCATGAAGGCCTACGAGGGCGTGACGTGCGAACATGACTGGAAAAAAAGGCCTCGCAATGCGAGCGGGGCAAAGTGGAAGTCCAAGGTCGACTGGTCGCTAGGTGAGGAGCACTTGAGGCAGACATCTCACGACGCCATCGAGGACGCTCTCGCGGACGAGGAGGTGACGGACAAGTTGAGGAAGAGGGCGCAGATCCAGAAGCACTTGGCGTCGGTGCGGGACGCAGCGCCCAGGGACGAGGAATAGGGGTGGCCCGAGGGTTCGTTTTGGAGTGGCGACCCTTGGGCAAGTCTCGCACTGCTGTGCTCACTCCTGTGGATCTGTGCTGCGTGGGCTTCGTCAGCGGGGAGATCGTCAGGTCGAGGGTGGAGCAGAAGGGGAGGCTTCCTCGGGCTCGCCGCGCTGACCCTCGCCCAACCGGTGTGCGCTGGAGGGCGAGGCCTCTTTTGTTCAGGCCGTGGCTTGTATATCTCGGACCTGAACTGCACCAGTGCGCTCAACCTTCGTCGTGCTCCACGTGAGCAGGTGCTTTCTTTACGGCGGCCTGATGATGATGGACTTCAGGGAGCGGGACCCTCTTCGGGGTTTGCCTTCTCCCACGGGGCCCCTGGCCACGCGAGCTGCGAGTTCAGGCTTTACGACGGAGCAGCTGAGGCTAACCTGGCTGCGCACTTGTCGGACAGTTCGGGCTCTACGGTCGCTGGCGGCGGGGCGTGTTGGGGCAGACGATGGGTCGACTGTCCCGAGCTCGTGGGGGGGCGCGACGGGGCTCCAGCGCAAGGTGGTCCACGACATCTGGGATCGTCGCGCCTCTCTCGGGGCGTGGGGGAGCATCGACGACGGCAAGGCGGTGCTTCGCCGTCTGCGGGGGTCCGACAGCTCGGGCTACGCAGTGGGCGCAGGATGCGGCCACAAGCGGACTACATCTACTACTACGTTTATCAAGAAGGGCGACCTCTGCAGGATGGTGGCGGACCAGGTCTCGCTGCCGCCTCCAGGGGCCGCGGGCCTGTCTCTGACGGGCCTCTCGACCACCGCGGCGCCATGCCTAGAGCGTTTCGAGAGTCGGATGCTGGAGGATCCGAAGGAGGTGGACTGGGGGAGATACGATGGTATCAAGAGCTACTCCGATCCAGGTTGGAAGGATCGTCACACCAGGCTCACCGTGGCCATGAGGATGATGCGGGCAGGAATGGTCCAGTACGTCAAGGAGGTGAAGCATACCGCGGGCCTTTTCTGCGTGGCCAAGGACGTGAGCGAGGACGGGCGGGACGTGATCAAGTCCCGCCTCATCTGGGACGCGCGGAAGGTGAATCTGCTTTTTCGGCGACCACCGTGGACCCCACTGGGGCCACCCTCTGCCCTGTCCGAGTTGGAGCTGACGAACGACATCTTGAAGGATCGTGTGCTGGGCAGTTTCCAGGGGGACGTGCCCGACTGGTTCTACAGGTTGAGGTGGTCGGACGGGCTAGCGGAGCACTTCACGCTGGAGGGGGTCTTGCCCGAGGAGCCCCACGCCTTCGCGAAGGATGCGGGGGTGGAGCTGCCAGCCCCGCCTGCGGGTGCCGCGGGCGTGGGGTCAGTGGCGCCTGTGATGGGGGCTGCCTGGGCGGTCTTCTTGGCCCACTCGGCACTTGTGGACTGCTTCGAGTCTATGGAGGGACTGGTCACGGAGCAGATCACCCTGGGCAGGGCGTGTCCGAGTTTCGCCGAGGCCGAGCTTCTCCTTTACTGTACATCGACGACTACATCGGCTTGAAGCTGGCGAAGGATGGGGGGGACGTGGACCTCGAGGTCACAAAGGGCCACGTGCGGAGCTATCTGAACGCGAAGGGGCTCGCCGTGCACAAGGAGGAGGCTGGGGAAGGACTGCGACGCGGGCTTGGGCTTCTCATATCTGGACGGCCCTATACGTTGAAGGTCTACCCCGAGAAGATGAAGGACCTGATCATCTGCGCCGAGGCAAGTGCGGTGACTCGGTCCGTGCGGCCTCGGGAGCTTGCCTCGGTGGTGGGCTGCTGGGCGTGGGCGATGCTGGTTTGTCGGCCTGCCTTCGCGATCCTGGACGCCTGCTACCGATGGGTCGGGGCTTTTGCG